AGGGGGGGGGGGGGGGTGTGTTTTGAGTGGTGAATGGATAAACATCAGTGAAGTGATTTCCTTGTGAGAGTGTTATCACAATCGGCTGTAGAATTATCTGTTTTCTTCCTTTCTTCTTTTTTGCATTTTTGGTGAAACTTTCCCTTGCTGACGGCGATGAAACTGATTCTCCACTGCTTTAATAAAAATATCTCTTGATGCAGGAGGCACAACAAGCTGAAAATGCACAAAAGCTTCATAATGGATCTGGCACAGAGGAACATCTTGATGATGACACAACAGTAATATCCGATCATTTTTTAAAAATCATATTTAACTGATATTCACTTTTAGTGCATTTCCAGACACGTCAAAACTGCACTTTACTGTATGCCCCTCATCTACTTTTCGAATCGCTGGGTTTTTGTTCACCTGTCCGTTATAACCTAACTTAAACGGATAGTTCATCCAAAAATGAAAATTCTGTCATTAATTACTCACCCTCATGTCGTTCTAAACCCGTAAGACTTCCGTTCATCTTCAGAACACACATTAAGATATTTTTGATGCGTTACACAGATACGTTGTTTTCATTCAAATCAAAGCATAAACAACGTAGAAAACGTATCCGTGTGATGCAGCTGACACAGAATAGCATACGCTGTTTACGTTCAGTGGATACTGTCCAAAATGGCACCAGGGGGATGAATTGTTGAATAAAGTCGTTATTTTTGTTTTCTTTGCGTACAAAAAGTATTCTCGTAGCTTCGTATAATTACGGTTGAACCCCTGTTCTGTCAGGACCACTATCGTCAAAGATGATTGACAATTAGCATACAGTTTGGATTGGCGGTATGGTTCTGTTCTGGGCAAGAACTCCCTGCGCATACATGCAGCCTAGCATGGATGAGAGCAAGGAGAGCAGCGATAACCCCCCCAGGGTAAACAGAACAGAACCAACATAAATTTATTGCAGATATCGTTAAAGTTCAATAATGTTATGTACACATTTTAGAATTAGTCTGATTCAAAGGAGAAACAGAAGGCTGAATCCTGACTGACAGAGGAGGAGTTGGGGATGGAGGAGGGTAATTAGCTATTGAGCAATGCGAAAACTGCTGATAATACTGAGGGACCTTATATATGAATGCTTAGATAGGTGTCGTATTCCCATAGGTAGATGGGGATCAGCTGAGAGTCAGCTGATGCGAGCTTGACTAACGTGACGTGCCAGAACTAACGCTACGCTAGATATGTCACATGGATTATTTTACCGATCTCCTTGCTACGTTTCTGGACCTGGATCATTGCTGTCTATGGGAGGGTCAGAGAGCTCTCAGAATTCATCAAAAATATCTTAATTTGTGTTCTGAAGATGAACGGAGGTCTTACGGGTTTGAAACGACATGAGGGTGAGTAATTAATGATTACTGATTAATGAATAATTTTTGGGTGAACTATCCCTTTAACATCTAGGCTATGTTTGGTATAGTTAGTATACACAGCATTTGACCTTTGTTAGTGTAAGTTAATAAAAATACAGTTGTCCATTATAGTTCACATTGCATTAACCAATGCTAACAGATATTTTGATTAAATGTAGAAATTAACATTAACTAAGATTAATAAATATTGTAGTATTGTTGGCCATTGGTGCATGTTATGTAGTTAACTAATATTAAAGTGGTAGTTCACCCAAATTTTGTCATCATTTACTCACCCTCATGTTGTTCACAAAAGAAGATATTTTGAAGAATGATGGTAACCATAGAATGGAAGCCCAACTGTTACCAACATTCTTCAGAATATTTTCTTTTGTGTTCAACAGAAGAAAGTAACTCATTCAGGTTTGGAATAACATGAGGATGAGTAAATGATGATTTTTATATTTGGGTGAAATCCATTCCAAACATAGCCTCATATAAACCTTTCCACATGTAGCATGCTGTTCCTGTTAAAGGGTTAGTTCACCCAAAACTGAAAATTAGGCTGTGTTTTACTCACCCCAGAGGCATCCTAGGTGTATATGACTTTCTTCTTTCAGACGAATCCAGTCGGAGTTATATTAAAAAGTGTCCTGGCTATTCCAAGCTCTATCATTGCAGTCAGCGGGTGTTGCAGTGCTTCAGTCCAAAAGAAGTTAAATAAAAAGCGCCCATCCATTAAAAAATTAAGAAAAGTATCCATATTCAAAACGTAATAATCACTTGAATCTAGCTTGTGCTCACTGTTGTAATCGGAAGCAGCTCCGGGAGGATGACGTATGAGGTCAGCCCTGCACATGCGCCGGTGAGTCTCGTGAAAACCAACATTTGTTTACAGGATCAAAGGAAGCAAAGTTTCCTTACTTTAGCAAAGGAAAACCAGTCTCCTCTTGGCTTTGACCAAACTTTTTTCACCCCCCGGTGCTGGGTGACACTTTTTTTTATGGATGGGCGCTTTTTATTTCACTTCTTTTGGACTGAAGCACTGCAACACCCGCTGACTGCAATGATAGAGCTTGGAATAGCCAGGACAATTTTTAATATAACTCCGACTGGATTCGTCTGAAAGAAGAAAGTCATATACACCTAGGATACCTCGGGGGTGAGTAAAACACAGCCTAATTTTCATTTTTGGGTGAACTAACCCTTAAATCCACTGCATTTGTATTGTGTTATTAATCACATTTAATCAGGCATGCTTTCTCACTCTTTCAAATACTTAAGTTAAAAGGATTGCAATTTTGAGTTACTTTATATTTGCAATCATGTGATCACCTTTATGTTGTATATACAACTATGTAATTACAAATGTTTAATTGAGGAAAACATTTTTCTTCCAGTATCTTGAAAGAAGAATGAATTTGTCAACATTGCAAACTGATTGATAATGTCCATTTTACATGTAGTTTGGCAACATTCCCATTGTCTACTGCAACAAACCCTCTTTTCTGTTTCTCACTTTTCACCGGTGAATGTTCCTCCAGTTCATTAACTCATGCCTGTTTTCATCCTGAGGGTCCAGTTCTAAAATGACCTAGGAACCCACGGTGCTTTATGCCAGTGCCTTAGCAGATCCTGTACTGTCAACAGTTTTAATTTATCTTTTCCTGGGATGCGCTGTTTGTTCTTCTAGAAAAAAGAACTCGTAGAGGCTGAGCAGAATGGAGATGCACACACAGCAGAGCTGGAAGAAGACGATCCAGGCAAGAAGGCAGAGACAGATGCTCAAGAAGAGAACGCCGAAGAGGAGGAACCGGCAGAAGAAGACGAAGAGAGTGTAACTGACCATTAAAACTCCTGTTTAACTCCCATTCCTCTTCAAACATCACCTGTTTTCCCATAGCAGCTTGTTCTTCTTCCAGATCATCTCATGCTTTGCTTCATCTATTAACCTCCAGGTTTTTTTATGCAGGTTCTCTCCCATGCAACAGAAATTAACATCTAACTCTCTGCTTTACCATCTCCTCTCTTGTAGTTTGATTCTTGCTAGTGTTGACAGTGTGACTCGCAAGATTGTTGTGGATTTTATCGTGTTCATTCAGTAAATGTGTTTTTCTGCCTGATGTAATTTGCTCATTTTAATATTTAACTTTCTTTTTTGATAGAGAAAGGTAGCTGAGGAGGAAGAGCAGGTATGAAAAAACTGCTTACACAATTCTGCATGTCTTGATCACTGTATAACAACATTACCATAGATAGATAGATAGATGGATAGATAGATAGTGTAACGAGGCAAACAAGACTTGAGGATCCATCTGCAGGCTTTTATTAGACAGAGACATGGTCATAACAGGCATGGGTCAAACAATGGCAAACGGGTAAAGGTAGGGCAAGACACGAGTAGTCCAGTAAATGGGCGTGGTCAATCTCCGGCGAACGTAATCCTGGGGGCGAGGCAAACGGGGAATCCACAAGACGAGCTAGAGTCCAGGCAAGGTGCAAACACAGTCCGAAACAGCAAGACAAAGGGTCATTCCAAAACAGGCTATAAACTTCAGGGCAGGCAGAGATCAGACAAAACGAGATAACAGGCAAGGATAAAGACACGGTTAAACAGACTAAGAACAAGGCTATACTAGATTAAGAAATTTGGAGTGGCTCCGTAAAGTAGCTATCGCTATGAGAGAGCTATGCGCTAAACAATACTTGGCGTTGAATGGTGGTGTGAGACTGATTTATATAGTGTGTGTTATTGGTAGCAGCTGTGTAAGATTGGTTTCAGGTGAGATTGTGATTAGTGCAATGGAGCTTGGGAAATGTAGTCCAGGGTGATGTGTAACAGTCTGTGTAGTGTGAGAGTCCATGTGGAGAGCGGGTGACCTCTGGTGGTGAGTGAACGGACGTTTATAGACCGGATTCGTGACAGATAGATAGATAGATAGGTTTTGGATATATTTGAATAGATAGATGTGTTCCAGTGTGGTTTTATTGGGTTGATTTACCTTACAACTATTATAAACTTTTAATTGTACTATTCAAAGTAATTGTAATAGTAATAAAACATTGATTAAAACTAATTATTTTATAATTATGTATGTTACTATTCTGACTGAACCATTTCTTTTCTTCTATGACTCACAGGAGGAAGGAGAAGAGGACAGGGTAAGACTGAAATCTATATTTTTTGTCACTTAAGAAGCCATTTTAACAACATTGGCCTAAGTCTTTATATACTTCAAGAAGATTCATATTAGTCTGTGACTTCATTCATAGCAGTTAAATGACTGCTTCTGGTTTATTGAACTTTGGCAATCAAAATGAAAGAAAAAATGTGTGTATCACAAGGTGGAGGGACAGTTGTCTCTTTACTCTGCCAAACAGTGGAAGTCATTCATCCAAAAACAAGAATTGCTTTATTTGAATGTTGTCAATGTATTAGATGTGTTTGGAGTTGTTCAGGATTCTCATGGTCATGGAAATCCTGAAAATATCAGAGAACAGTTATGGTTTACAGGCCTAGAAAAGCCATGGAAACTAGTCAAACAAACAAATACATACATTTAGTGCATATTTATTATTTATTATTTAGTTCTGCCTAATATTTAATAGTTATTCCTTGTTGTGAGAGTTTGTATAGAGTAGATCTTGTCAGTTTGAAATATCATTATTGAAGACATTTGTGTATTAAAATACACAAATGCATTATTTCTCGTCAAAAATGGTCAGGTTGAGAGTTAAAAATGCAATTAACCACTTGTCAGAAAAATCATTAAAGAAAAAGCTAATGTTCGCTATTTGTTGTTTTAGGTTGAGGACAACCATCTTGTCTCAGAGGTGATTCTTATTCTAGAACGAACAGATCTGGAGTGTGTTTAACTCTACTATTCTCTCCCATCCATTCCTTCTCATCTTCCTGACAACATTTCCATTATTATTATTATTATTTATTTTTGCATCCATGTTTTTTTTCCTTCTTCTCACAATCAGTCATTTACTCAAAAGCATTTTCTCTTGGAAGGCGACTCGTTTGCATTGGGTTTTGCCTGTGTTTCATTTTCCTTCCCTCTTTGTCCTTACAGGTGTGATGGATGCATTTTCTGTTTTTAAAAGCCTTTTACTTGAAAAGTTCTCCATCAAAACAGCTCTTCAGAAAAAATGTTGTTCTTTAACTATTCCTCCCATCCATTCCTTCTCATCTTCCTGACAACATTTCCATTATTATTATTATTATTTATTTTTGCATCCATGTTTTTTTTTCCTTCTTCTCACAATCAGTCATTTACTCAAAAGCATTTTCTCTTGGAAGGCGACTCGTTTGCATTGGGTTTTGCCTGTGTTTCATTTTCCTTCCCTCTTTGTCCTTACAGGTGTGATGGATGCATTTTCTGTTTTTAAAAGCCTTTTACTTGAAAAGTTCTCCATCAAAACAGCTCTTCAGAAAAAATGTTGTTCTTTAACTATTTGCAGTTACTAAAATAGCAAGCAGGAAAAATATGAATCATCATTAGGCTGTTCCGCAAATCCAACAAAAAATACAAGTTCAAGATGCACTGAATTCGGTAAAATGCATAGTCTAATAAAGGAACATAAACTAGAACATAAACTAACTGAATAGGTTCTGTGGAGTAAATTACAAACCACAAGCACCTGGGCAAATTGAGTTCCAGTGACAGAACTGGACATCATTACCAAAACTTATTGGTGATTCAAATCATGTTGTCATCTAATCATCATCAATAACTACATAGTCTAATATACTCTAATGGTTTATGTTGATATTAAATATCAGACACCATTCAGATATTTAATGCCCATTTGTCAAAATCCAAAATCCTGCACTGTATTGATATTTTTATTGACTGTATAGCTTTAATAAGCATAATATAGAACATGTATGTATGCTGTAGGATGTATTATACATCTATCTTTAATAGCTGGGCAATAATGTAATTCATATTTTTGGATGGTATAACAATCAAGCAGTTGAGATTTGCTATAAGTACATCCTGCTTAACGTGAGTGTACTGTATGTATCTGATTTTTATCAATATAAGTATTGAATGATACCAGATAGCACACCTGCTGTTCTGATGTGCTTTGAACACAAAACTGGAAAGTACTGAATTCAGTTAATCCATTCTATTTCTTTTGTCCAAATTCAGCAAGTTAAAAGCTTCTTTCTATCCCTTCTTCTCAGTTCCCACCTGTTTTTTCCTATAGGCAGAAGATGATTTGGTGTCTGAGGTAACTTGGGTTTGATGAGCAGTGTCTCTCTGTCTCTGTTGTTGTATTTGTGATTTGCATTTTTTCCCCTCATTTGGCCACTGATTTTCCTCCTTCATTCTTCCTTCTAACCTCCTTTTTGACTTCTCTCCTCTAGCTGCCTCCCGCCACCCTAATTCTAACCATAAGTCTATAGTACATGCTGATAATTAATATTCCTCAGTACTTTAATGTTCATACTGTCTCATATAAGCGTTTGGAACTCCCTTGACGAAGGGAATGACTGCCCAAATGTTACCTTGACAACGCTGCGTGTGCGTGCAGGATTCAGCACTCCACCAGTTGTTGCAAATATAGATTTCTTCTCATTATTATTATTTTATTCAAATATTGTCTAATTGTGTCTTATTTACTATTAAAGGGGTCATATGATGCTGCTAAAAATAACATTATTTTGTGTATTTGGTGTAATGAAATGTGTTTATGCGGTTTAAGGTTCAAAAAACACATTATTTTCCACATACTGTACATTATTGTTTCTCCTCTATGCCCCGCCTTTCTGAAACGCGTCGATTTTTAGAGGTGTGCTCTGATTGGCCAGCTATCCAGTGCGTTGTGATTGGCCGAATACCTCAAGCTTGTGACGGAAATGTTACGCCCCTTACCATACTGTGATGCCGTGTCCCGGCGCGACGAGACAAAAGCAATAAAACTCATTATAAACGAGGCATTTGTTGCATCCAGTGGGGGCATAATTACGAATTATAATAACTTATACTGTCTTTTTACGCGTTGTGTTACATCGTGCCATGTAAACATAAAACCATGTCTGCATTTGTGATCGGAGAAATGACAAACAACAAGCCCTACTCCACACTGCCCAAAAAACTCGCTTTAAATATAAAAAATATAAAATATAAAAAC